TTTTTTTTTTTTGATAAATTCGGGTGCTGTTATATACCAGTATTTCACTTCCATCCCGTCGCGAAACCACCACAACAATGTCCGAAGGCTGGAACGAAAATACACCTCCATACAAAGCAGTCTATAAGCAGCCAGTTTACCAACCGGGACCGACACCAAATTATGCCGAACCATATGCACCGTCTGGTGCGCCTCCAGACACAGACTTCGGGAATGGCTTTAGCGACCCGAAGTCACCATATGAAGGAGACCGATTCAAGCCCCGGAAAAGGATCAACGACCCGTTCTTCTTGATTGTTTTCATGTTGCAGGTGAGCTTGTGGCTTTGCTCGTATTCTGAGACTGCTTTTTCACGTTTGACCCTCGGGCGAACAGCTTGCTGGGTTTGCTGTTTTGTCCGGAATTGCAGTTAATGAATGGGTAAAGTCTGGGGGATTGGGGGGTGGGATTGGCAGCGGGAACACAGGGAGTTCTGTCACTTTAAATTAGTGAGCATCGCATTCCAATACAACCCCTTCAGCTGATTTATTGCAAACGGACCAATATTACAGCCACACTGTAATTTTACTTTTGCTCATCACAGCTGCAGCACTCGTCCTCTCTACAGTATATCTTATCCTGACGCGCATATTCACGCGCCTTATTATGCATTTTACGCTCTTACTATCTATTGCGCTGAATATGTAAGCATTGTGTATATTTGACTTACGTGCACACACTGACAAATGCATGTAGAGGGATTTGCGTGTATTACTGGATCACCAAATATTGGTGTACGTTGATTATGTTGTCTGAAAGCGCACACAGAGCAGTGATAAACCCGTAATACTAGCCGGTGCCATTATTTTCACCGTCGTTGCGCTAGTCTCAATCTTAGCCTACTTTGGTTATCGTTCTCGTATTCCCCTTGCCTCTCTTCTCTTGCAGGTCATAATGGACGTCTCCAAGCACCACTGGAGTGTCTACGTCGTAGCGTTTGCCGCGTTGATCTTACAAGCGGCCTGGAGTGTGTATGTATGCGTGGGTTCTGAACAAACAGGGTATGCTGACCCTCTATATGGTAGATGGTTCACGTTCACCGTAATTTCCATGTAAGTTCTCTTGATCGTTCAAGCATCTAATGCAAAACAACTATGCGCAGATATGCAAAGTGGACGCCAGGCAACCCTAGTATGTAGGCAGATGCTCTTCTGCTCTCTCCCGGCCGTTGATCTGGGTCACGCAGGTTGTGAAAATGGCACATCTTGCTCCTCAAGCAAAGTCGCAGGGCTTGTCTTTTATGCGACATTTTCATTTCTTTGGACGTCGCAAACAATTGGGAACGTCGCGCTTGCCACGTTAGCCGGTGGGCCTTTTGGATGTGAGGATTTTCACAATCGATTTATCTGGCGGCGAGTGACGCAATCACAGGCTGGTATTACTTTGGCCCGCGCGATCAGGGACTGATGGTTAGTCATCTCCTCGCTTCTATATGGCTTCACTCCTAACTAGCTCTGTTCACGTTCGAAGCCTCGACATCCTACGCTGTCTTCTTTCGGGCGCGCTTCCACCCTGTCGTTGGGGTCAATAGCATTCGGATCGCTTATCGTCACGCTATTAGACCTACTCAGACTACTGCTAAATATTGTCAGAAATAATGCGAGCGCAGACGGACATCGTAAGTTTGACTTCACCTCAATTGTACTTATCTGGCTAAGCTCCCTTGAAGCGGTTGAGGTGTGCCTTGCATTATGTGCGGAGTGTTTCGTAGGCTGCATTGAGGGCCTAATCCAGTACTTCAACAGGTTCGTCATGAACAGTTCATATCGTAACACAGACTGAGTCAGCTGCACCGCAGATATGCGTATATCGAGATTGGCAGGTTGCCTGCCTTTTATTCTGCACTGACGGCGCTGACGATCCAGTTCAGCATTATATGGCAAATCATACATCCCGGCTGCAAAAGATACCTGGCATCTGTTGAAGGACCGCGGTATTGACGCGCTCATCAATGATTCGCTCGTTGGCATGAGTGAGTAGCTCGTTGCTCTCTATGTGTCTTCAAATTCCTAAGCTTGTTTCCGGAAGCACTTACGTGGGGTGCATACGCAATCGGTCTAATATCTTCGCTATTTGCGTATCTGTATCTTCGCTGTGAGTGTATTCGCTTATGAGTCCTCCCTGAGTAATTAAAGCCGCTATTTGCAGATACACACCCCTCTTACAATGCTGATGGGCAATATACGGCGCCCGTTTTGCTGTTCGCGTTTCTGATAGGACTGCAGTGTTGTAAGTCTCAAGTGACCACTTAGTGTCTACATCAAGTTGTATCGCGCGCTCACCATCGACGCCAGCGTTGACACTATCATCGGCCATCGAAGCCGGCGTGTCCACTATGTACGTGAATAATATTTGCGCCACGTTCAAGGCGCTGCTGATGATGGGACCGACTGTTTTCAGCTTTGTTGGTCTGGGAGAGGACCCGCAAGTGTTGGCGGCTCGTGCGCCCTCCCTATTCGGAGTACGTACTTTCATCAATCATATTCATGAAAGATGATGACGGAGACGATTTCTTGCACGTCTCAGTTGATTGCATCTAGGTACCCACAGGTTACGCAGGGTGTGTCGAGGGTCTGAAGGCTGGTCGATGCGGCTATCGGAAAGACAGGCCCCGTTACGAACGTTTGTTCCACGCATCAGACACGATATTCAAATTCTTGACTTCCAGTGACAGCCTGTTAGAGTCGGGTCGCAGAGAGGGATTTTTGCTGCGTATTGAGGGAATTATTCTATTCGTACTTGACTAAAGGTTCTTATCGATGCGCCATTATCATTTTTTGATTGATCGCCTGAG